ACACACACACACACACACACACACACACACACACACACACACACACACACACAGAAACGGACAGACAGACAAACCAAAAGATATGCTTAGCGCGTTATGCGCTCCTCAGTTTTTTTGGTATGAGAAAGATAATCGCGTCTCGGAATTCCTTTCATGATGCTCATTCCTTACAACGGCTCTACGAAACTTGGAAATTCAAACATGCTACAGACTGAATTACAGAGTAATCTTTACCTTTTCGAAAAATTTGATCTGTTAAATGTGCTATGGAATACTTTTTAGAAAACAGTTGACAAAACTAGTGCATTCACAGCTGGTAGGAACTCACTAAACAACCCCATAACACAACAGGGCTGGTCGATGCTCTCATAACCCTTCGAAACACCAATTCGGCTCAGATAAACGTACAGTCAAGTCAGAGAAAGGGACTGAAATGAATGAATAACTTTGAGATGGAAGCACCCACCTAGCGACACACTGGTTCAGGTTAGTAATCACTATACCATCGTCGAACTGATATTGACCGTTGGCCAAGCATGTCTTTTTCACGGAGATCACACCATTTGGTCTCAGTATTTGCTCTGAATTGGATTGCACTTTGATTGCATGAACGGGTATTTTTTTCGATAGAGTATGCGAACGAATGCAAAATCAAGAAGACAGGACGGATCACCGCAATCGCAACGCGCCATGATTTCATTACTCGATTGAGTTGCGGAACTTTTTCACCAGAATGTATTCGTAGGACCAACAAAGATGCTCAGCAATTTAGAGTGCTTTCAGTGTACCGCTACATTTTTTGATACCTTTTCCATCAAGAATGGTACATCACGTAATGCAGCAGTCATTCTGAGAAGGAGTTAATTCCTACCGATAGAACATAGCGTGACGCACTAATTGGAGACGGCACCAATAGTTCTTAAGTCTGAAAAGATCGCCCTATCCCTAGGTGAGCAGATTCAGCTTACCCCTAAGAGCTACTCAAAAGGAATTTGTTTGAGGTAGGCAGAAGCTCACTACCTAGTTAGTAGGTACTCGCTTTTTGACCCTTTTTTTTTGATAAATATAAAAATCCAATGGATGTTTTAGCGAGGAGTATTAGCTTTCTGATATGCCATTACAGTGAGTCCTTGAGCGCAATTAGGAAATAATAAATAAATACGCATCAATGTCAACCTACCAAATAGACAGTACTCTCCATTACAAACCGGATTGGAGACACATGCCAATCCATTATAATTGAAACAGCTCTGACATCTGATCGCCTCTAAACAGCATTCAGGAGACATGATATTAGCTGAAAAGCAGTAACAAAGACATGTACCTACGAAGTAGACCATATGTGCAGTCATCAAGATAGAGCAAAAGATAGTCGTATGCATGACGTGAGGCGTCGACTAAACTGAACTAACATATGATGTCGGCGAAATATGAGGAGCAGCTTGAGGCTGTTTGTTGGCGGATTAAAAGATGCCCGAGCTGATTCATCGGCGCAAACATGGTAAGTTTGTTGCCGCAGTCAGCAGCGTCTTCATGCGTACGAACTGAAACAGAAAATTTCATAGAAAAAAAGCATCGCAAATCGGAAAAAAGACTAGACAAATGCAGAATATGCAAGCCAGTTCGAATACAAACTCTTAAATATTCCGTCGTTTTCATCCTTCAGTAGTACTCTATAAACTTAATTTCCAATGATTAGAAATGACTAAGTGCTGAAAAAAAAGACTAAATTGAGAATTCAATTCTATAACTTCAGTTCAACGCAAACATGTAATGATCTGCTCAGATAAAAAATGTTATATTTTTATCAATGAAGACTAGTTAGTGTGTTCGGTTTGACTACCACCATCCAAAAAAGTGCCTCGAAGGAGGACCCCTGGAACAAATCCCGAGCGAATTTGAGGCATTTCTACGCAACCACCTGCACGATCGGAGGATGCAATACCCGATACAGTATTCTTAAGAATAATAACCGACCTATGCCGCCTATTGGATGTCAAGTTGGCCAAAAGATAATTGAATTTGTTATCGAGTAATTTCTCTCCTATTCCTTTCTCTCTTATTACTTTTTTCTTTATTTTTATCATTTCAAACATTAGCACGGCTCCAACCTGATTTCGAAATCACGACGCATTCAAAATGGGCTGCCACTACCCTACAAGCCAATTACAGAATGACCGCTACCTGAACTAGTGAGTGTATGACAAATGCCCAGTTTCGTGAAACACATGAGAATTATAAATGAAGTGAAAATTCTGGCAATGGCCAAGTACGAGTTGACCGTAACGTACAAGAACACGCCAATGTCAGAATTCACTAGCTCCCGGCTCAACGCAGTTAACCTAGTCGAAAACTTCATCTATGAATCGTACCCTTGTGGCATGACTTCTTTCACATGTCCACCATCTTCATTGATGACTACCTCTTACTGAAAGCTCAATAGTATTGACTTCATCCTCAATACTATTGAACCTTCAGGAAGAGGTAGCCATTACATAATCAACATTGAATCATCACTATGTGATTGTGGCATCGTACACATAATTAAGTGCATTTTTTACGAGGAACTGATTTCGGACACACGGGTACCTTTATCCCTGCACCATGTATGTTCGTAAGCCGCTTGCTATTCGACAACCAAATGTTTCTCAGTCAGTGTAAAGGTACAAGGTTGTCACACTATAAATGCATCGAGCCCTACCGTGAGTTATTTGGATGTTCATCGATCACGTAGCGCGAAATGAAAGTTTTAAGCACATTAATGATTAGCATTGAGTTGGAAAGAAACAAAAAACCACTTTACGAACAGCAAAGCTGCATCTAACGAGCTAATAAGCAATAGATGCAAAGCTATCTCTCTATATATAATCCACAAGTTTGGTGTGTCTGTTTGTTTGTTTGTTTGTTTGTGTATGTATGTATGTATGTATGTATGTATGTATGTATGTATGTATGTATGTATGTATGTTTGTTTGTTTGTTTGTTTGTATGTTTGTGTATCGCACAATCCGGTTTTAACCTAAAAAAGCACCTTTAGAGGTCGGGACAAGTTCGGGATGGACGGAGCCCAAGACAAAATTAAAAGAGCACACACGAGCTCTGCGAAGCTCCGCCCCCGGGGGCGGGGCAAGTGCCGGAATGGGCGGTGCCAACGGTCAAACATCTTATTTTTGCTTCAAAAAAGTCCAGACACCGGGGAGAAATATTAAAAGGTGAGGATAGGGTAAACAAACCGGCTGGAGGAGACCCACGTGCTGTGGGCGGAGCTTCCTCAAAATGGGCGGTACTTTTCAGATGTATTCATAACTCGATTCAATTGAGGCGCAAAGGCCAGGAAAAAAAAATAAAAGGAGTGAGCAGGGCCTCATGCGTGCTACGCATGCGTAAGCTTAGCGAAACCCCGCCCACAATAGGCGGGGCGTGCGTTGAGACGAAAGCCACCTCTCAAAAATGAATGCAACTTTGCTTGGCACTTAAGTGGGTGGGGCTTTGACCCAAAATTTATAACTCTCTTCAAAAACTTTCTGGGATGCAGCAAAAAGGTGTTAACGTGTAAAAGAACAATTGTGGCCAAATCCCAGAAGTGGGCGGGGTTGGCACCAAAGTTGGCGGAGCTTAGATAAGACATTTATAATTCTGTTCAGAAATGTTCTGGGACGCGGCAAAAAGGTATTAAGGTGTAAAAGAACAAATGTGGTCAAATCCCAAAAGTGGGCGGGGCTTGGGCAAAAATTTATAATATTCAGAAACTTTCTGGGACGATGCAAAAAGGTGTCAAGGTGTAAAAGAACAAATGTTGTCAGATTCCACAAGTGGGCGTGATTGGCACTAAAGCGGACTTACATCGAAATTATCAAGTCTCTTCCGATGCCTTATAGAACACGGGAAAAAGGGGTCTGGAGGTAGTAAAAATAATGTGGTTCGAAGTCTGAGGTGGGTGGGGTTCGCAAGGAGGGGGGCGGGGCCGAAATCAAAAATTTATACACCTGTCCTTCACACTAACCCTGACCACATAGGTGTACAACTAGGGGATACCACTAAACTCTTTCAAGAATGAGGCTAAAAATTCTCTAAAAGTTAGTATCCGTGGTTCCACACATTGTAGTCCCTTCTACACAAGAGGAAATGCACCACATCAACTTCAGACCTCATAAGATAAATTCTGCACTAACCACGGCTACACAGGTGCATATCCTGTAGAGACGTGTAAATCCCTACAACCACCCAAGGGGGCTTTCCCTTCAAAGATGGCGTTCATGGCCATACACAGCCCAAACTACACGGGATTTCTTCGACTACATGGACTGCAGAGGTATTTGATTTGGATACACTGGAGTACTCTTCATGGCCACAAGCAGCCTCATTTGACATCTGAAAAAAATGATGGCCGCCACAGAAGTGTCAGGGACGAGGCTCAGATAATAAAGGTTTATAATGGAAATCAGAAGCTTATGTGACTCCGTCCCTCATGGCTAAAGCCCCTAGTGCACGCAATAGCGTGCGTAGCCGCCTGGTAATTTAATATACGAAAAATAGCGCGGTAAGACAGGCACTTCGAACGCTTAGGCCTTGAACGGCGCAATTTATCAGCTTGCGAGAAATCTATCGCAGGCTGTTGCTGACGCCACATCTGCGATACTAAACGTAAGCCGCTATTAGGAAGACTTTCCAAATTCCTGTAAAAGTACTATTATCCTTAGCAATTTATGCCGATCTTGATCTTGGTCGTTCCATCATGAAGATCTCGGTATCAGCTGTACAATCGCGAAGTTTATTTGAGATTGGGTCTTACAACAGTGAAGCAAATGGCAATGCGGAAGCGAAAAAAAACATGACTGGCAAGCAACCAAAAATTGTACTTTCTACTGTATAAGATTCTCCAGTCTGTCTGCCTGGCCTAAGCAAGATTGACAATGCACGTGTGAGCTCAACGGAGCTCGGCGGCCGGTGCTACAAAACTTCCTGATTTGATTTCAGAGAAAGAAATTAGTGAGCAAGGCGTAATAGTGCTGAATACCTGAGAACTTTGTGAAGCTCGGCTACGAGCATACAAATGTAAGGTACCACCTTAACCAATCTATAACTGTATTCGAAAACGTTCTAGAATGCAGAAAAAGTGGTTACAGATTATAGAGGAATTGCGGTGAAATCCGCAATATGTGGAGGTTCGCACCAAGGGGAGCGGAGCTGAGTTCAAACATGCATAAAACGTTCTCGCATCCGAAAAAAGTGCATGGATGCTATTGAAGGAAGGTAGGTCAAATCTCCAAAGCGGACAGGGCTGGCACTGAGGTTGGCGGGGCTACGATCAAAATTTCACACTTGCATAAAGACGTTCGTAACGTTTCAAAATGTTCTATATATTTACCATCACCGTCACTTCCTATGCAGAAGAATTCGTTCCTATCTCTCTGTCCCGAAACTCGCTACTACCTGAAGAGGTTGGGGTTGGGTAAACTTCAGAATAGAGGGGCTTGAGCTAGAACAACTGAGCACTTGTTAGCTGAGCGAAGCTCCACTTAAATATGAACATGGAGCGGGAACAGCGGTGCAACAGGGAAAGTTCATAATCCTTTTTCTCAGAAAAGGCTGAGTTGAACAAATTTTTTAAAGAAATCTTTACGCTAACGTATGGGACAAAACGACTGAAATTATCGTTGGAATGGGTCGCTCCACAGGGCTTCGAATCTCTAACGCCAACAAGTAGAACACAGACAAATGTAGGACGCCGGCTTTATGGTCTTAATTGTACTACGGAAAGATATTGAGACAGGGAATAGAAGTTCCCGTCTGAGCACGAGATGGAAAAGAGCGTTGAGATAAGTGAAAAGTTGCTCTCATCCGAAAGGTGGCATGGGAGAGAAAATGGCTAGTTTAGGATACTGACTCACGGAAAGTATTAGTGGCCTTGTTGCATGTGATCAATAATTCAGCATTCCCGTCATGCTCTCCCCATTTTCATCAGGAAGAACACTATGGGAAAGCTTAAATACTGATGACAGGTCCGGCATCTTCTCCCGAACACTGCGTAGCGCTCGTCGCTCCCGCCGCGTATCGCTGAATTGCCATGGAAGATTGTCGCGCGCAATTTGTTAGTCTTCAATTACCCTAAAATTCCATAGATAAGAGCGGGTGAGCCTACCGGTGAAAAATAAATTGGAAAAAATCGAAATTGAATGCAGTCACCCCTCTAACTTGATGGATGGGTAAATTAAACCTCGAGGAAGAAGTTAAGAAGAAGCTCCGCCCCACAACTCTAAACCCCGCCCACTTAATAAACAATTTATATGGAAAAACAGCGATCCGTAAAAATCGCTGTTTTTCTATATGAATTGATTATTAAGTGGGCGGGGTTTTGAGTTGGGGGGCGG